GGATTTAAAAATAGTTACGCAAAACAGAGCGTGCTGCTCTGACCGGCTTTAAAGGGTTAAACTTAACCAGTTACTTTTGAGCACATAAACCTGACCAAGAAGTTTAGTTTTCACTTGTTGGTTATTTCTAAAAACTCAAAGGAAAATGGGACACAGACTATCTAGACCTCTAATATGGGACCATTATCTCTCAGTATCAGCTGATGCCACAATGACAAAGGATGTCTCGCATCTAAGAAAAAGCCATTATATGATGGGCTGGGGTAAGAAAGTGCTGGTGCCTTAGACGATGGTCAAAGTTATGTTGGAGCACAAAGACACATGCAAACAATCTTAAATAAAAAGAAAAGCTACAGCTGCAAAGAGCAGAACAGCTTCACATCCACATGTTTAGTGAAGTTAAAAACCTTTGCTTCTCTGTTACGGGAGACTATGATGCAATATTAACAGCCTAGTTTCAATAATGTATCAGAAGAAGATGCATTATGGATATTCCTTTATTGATTATCAGTCCCGTGTGTGCTGTCGTGCTCCTTCACATGGATTCCTCTGCAGCAGGTAACCGTTGTGTAACCCTGCTCCGTATGTGCCCCCATCTGCTCTCACTGATGAAATCTTGGCCACATGTTGTGTCACCACTGCAGAGTTTTTTAAGTCCTCCCTTTGTGCTCAGACAGAAATGTGAAGTGAATGCAAAGTCCAGCGCAGAGAAGACCTGACACACTGGAAAAACGACTCTAATGACTTGTTTGTTCCTTCTGAGCAGCCCATCAAAGTCTCAGTATTAACCAGCACAGTCAGTAATGAGGCGACCGCAGTTTCATCACATACGGACGCCGGCGATAAAGAGGAGCTCGAGACCCGAGTGGCAGATGAGCAGAGTTCAGTTGATGTACTTTGAAATGGCAGAAGTGTTTTTGCTCCTGCCCTGTGGCTCCATGCAGAAAAGGGCAGCAGCTCATGCACATGATTAAAAATAAAACTGCAGCCATGAATGAACGAACTTTGAGTTCTCTGGTGTAAAAGAAACATGCACTAAAATTATGTTTATCTATTTGACCAGGCTTAAAACATCCACTTAGCTGGAACGAAGGTTATATATCACCTACAGAGATGTTGCACTACTACTACTACAAAAAAAAGAAACTAGTACAAAATATACAGGAAATGTCTGTAATTTTGGTCACATTTGGGATGTTTTCATGACTGAAAGTTCTAAAATCTTTTAAATCTATTCAGAAATTCTGAAGCCATCATAATTAACCCCATAGACAGAAAACTGAACTACCACAGAAACCAGTAAGTACTAAACCAAACTGAAACAGACTAAAGCAAACCTGAATCTGTTGCACTACCCTAAATATTAGGGGTGGGGAAAAAATCGATGTAGTATAGTATAGTAATCTGTGTAGCATGGTGATATTTTGTTTGCTAATAATGTATGGATACAGGGACAGCAGAAATCGATATTTTGTTACAAAAAGGTTTTTGTGCTCTGACTTCAGAGCATGTTGATCCTTTTTCTGAGCAAGAATCCTGACATTCCTTCACTGTCCAAATGTGTTTAACTTGTTTTTGGCAGCAATAAACATGACAGTTTACTTATTTTAATTTAAGACATGTTTTATTTTAATTAAGTTTAAAACTTTTTTATTTAATGTAAAATTATATTTTGTTTTAATTTACTTTCAAATTCTTCAGTTGCTGAAGGGGCTGCATAGTTTTCATAAACTGCATAGTTCAGAATAGCTATAATTGTACCAGATGGTTGATTCAGTTAAGTTGGACTAGACTGTAATACAAACCGTTCAGTTTGTCAACAATCAAACTGAAATGAGAGAAAGACTGAGTGTGAGACTTTGATATTAGAGAAAATGAATATTGATAAAGTTTACCTTTATGTACAGAATCTGAATATCGCAAAATATTTTAAAAAATTGCAATAATATCGTATCGTGCGTTAAGTATTGTGATAATATCGTATCGTGGGATGTATGGTGATTCCCACCTCTACTAAATATATGGCTAAAATACTCAAAATACTTTTGATTTGTGGTGGTCTGACTGGGGTTCTATTCTTTTTTCTGTCCCTTGGATCCATATAGACACGAGCTGTGCACTGATAATATTCAGATACCTACTCAGTTTGCCCTTACGTATGTTCTTCAGCATATATTACCCATCTGTCTCCATCACCTTCATTCACTAATATTCCTCTCTATCTCTGGTGTTGGTGTTGCTTCTGTGAGAACTTTTATGTTATTTTTTTATTCTTCTTAACTTAAATTTGCAAATCAAATCTGTTGCCAGAGCCAGCTTTGTTTCAAAAAACAACCTTGAGAAGGTTATCCGTGCTTTCATCATGCTCGGGCTCTTCCAAAACGCTCCTGCGAGAGTCCTGACTGATGCACACAAACAAGTAAATGAGTACACATCACCATCCTGGCTGCAAAATCCCAACATGTTTTTGCTCCCAAGTGCTAATCACACTTCATGTACCATGCTACTCATTTAGATCACATCACCAGCAGCTGTTTAAACCACCAGATTGTATTCAACAGATAAATTTCAAGCTGAAGCTCAGAAATGATCTGGAGGAGAACAACCTCTCCTCCAGATCATATCTACCTCTGTAACGGTTAACAAATCAGTGCACAAGTGCAAGAAACAAGGTCTGTAAAGACATGGACGAGTGAGTTTGGTGTGGTTAATCTTGACTGGCCTGCACAGAGTCAACCTGACAGAACACCTTTGGACTGAATTAGAGCAGAGACTGTGAGCCAGACCTTCTCATCCAACATCCGTGCCTGACCTGGCAAATGTGCTACTAGAGAATGATCAGAAATTTCCATAAAGACACTCCTAAACTTTCTGGAAAGCCTTCTTAAAAGAGTTGAAGCTAATATAGTTGCAAAGTTTTAAGCATGTGAATAAAAGTGGGATGTCACTAAAGTTCATATGTGAGTGAAGGCAGACGAGCACTGCAGATTGATACTTTTGGTAATATACTGTATGTTCATGCTGGCCGGGACAGCCCAACTTCTGACAGCTGTGTAACAGACATCTGTGCTTCATTTGGATCAAAAGAAGCTAAAAAAAGTCCTGCAACATCAGATATGTGCGATATCCAGCTAAAACATTTCAGGCTCAGCGTTTAAAAGCAAAAATCGCAGACTTGTTTTTACAGTTTTACCATTTCTCTGTTCTCACCTTCATCCTTCTTGACTCAATCCGAGACTTGTAGCAGAACTCGACCAGAGCCACCAGCATGGCCAGGCCCAGCCCACCAATCAGGATGTAGAAAACTCCAGCTACATTGCTCAGACTGAGCGCGCTAGTTTTGTCCTATCAGCACAGAGAAGTGAGGTTAGAGACACCGAATCATGGTGCACAGAGGCATGACATCACTATGGTTTGAATCCAACTGTAAGCAAAAGGACAAAATTATTTTTAAAAAGTTTAAAATGGTCTAAAATCCCAAAGCTAAGTTTCTAACTAAGAAGACCATTATGCAGCGTTCAAAGGCTGTGATATTCTGACAAATGGAAATATAAGAATGTCAGAGATCCCCTGAATTATGGAATTTAATATGAAATTACTTTTGGGCGACATCCACTCAAATTTGAAATTTAAAATTTACTGCCTAACTGATAATTTTGTAGTTTCCATTCAAAACATAAAACCTAATCGCTGACACCTGCCAGGAAAGTACGTTTTAATTGTGCTTTGATGTTTTTGTACATCAAAGTCTATTTTGAGATATGAACAAACTCCTCTTTGTAAAAAATCATCACTTTTTGCTATCTAATCACAATAAGGAAACAGTTAAAATAGTTAATAAATGCTAACAAATGTTAACAAATAACAAACATTTATCCATTAAAACTAATTAAAATGAG